CCCGCCGCAGCAGCTCCACGTGGCTGTAGAAGGCGTGCAGCACCTGCCAGGCCAGCACCAGCGGGCTCAGCGCCAGGTTGACGGCCGCCAGCAGCAGCACCGTGCGCCGCCAGCGCGCCGCCAGGGTGCCCCGCTGGTCGTGGCGCTTGTAGGCGTCCGGCAGCTCCCAGCCCCCGCGGAAGAGCGAGAAGGGCCCTCGGAAGAGGAGGAGGTCGACGTTGAGCGCCAGGCCGCGGCTCAGAAAGGCCGCGCCGCCTCCCCAGGGCAGCGCGCAGCGGGCCGGCAGCAGGCCCTTGTTGGCCAGCGCCACCTGGTAGTTGGTGTAGCGCAGGATGCGGTGGTGGACGTCCAGCTCGGTCAGCGGCCGCGGCTGCACGCACAGCCCCCCGCTCCTCTGCAGCGCCAGCAGGCGCGATTGCACCTCCGCCCAGGGCACGGAGCTGAGCTCCTCCTGAGGATGGGGGGGGGCGGTGAGCGCCATGCCCCGGATCCCTCTGCACCGTGATGCCCAAACTCACCACGACCAGAGCTACATCCCTAGCCCCTCCCCCCCACCAGTGTCCCTCGGGTGGGAAACCTGTCACCACTCTCTACTCTCCTTGCCCTTCCTTAACTGTGTCACCACCCAGGGCCATTTCCTACTACCCTGCATTCTCTTCTGGATTGTTCCACGTGGACCTGCCACTCCTGAGGCCATGAGTCATGTGCTTCCCAGCGACACCTCACAGGTTAAACTCTTCAGGTATTTGACCTCAGCTCCTTAAGAGCAAATTTTCCTGAGCCCCCTCCCCTTCCCCCGGGGAAGTCCTACACACAGAAGACACTGAGTGGCCACAGTGCCCAGGCGCCTGCCAACACAGGTCCACAGGCCTCAGGCCGCTTGCCTCCAAGTGCCCACCCCATGCCTTTCCCCGCAGTAACCTTCCTAAGGCACTGGCTGTGTCCACATCTGGGGTGGAGGCTGTCAGATCTCACTTGGATCTCCTCCGCAAACCTCACGTTAGCCCAGTTTCACCCAGCTGCCCCAGTCCAGCTTAGTCAAGTCCCTCCGGGCCAGCCTCTCCAGTCCATCCCAGGGTCTCCCCTTCCCCTGGAAGGAAGAGGGGAGGAGGGAAATGAAGGAAGGAGGGTGTGTGGTCTCCTGCAGGAGCAGTAGTCTGCCTCTTCCCCTCCACTGCCTCTGCCTCCCTGGTCCTTCTGGTCTCCCCTGTGCTGTGCCTAGTGCTCCCCTGCTCCAGGCGACTCTCTAGAGCCTCTCCCCTTGGCTGTACAGGGAGGCATGGAGAAGGCTCTAGATTTCTAGGGGGAGCTGGCTACAGAAGATGACCTTAGAGCAATGCTTTAAAGGAAGAACTTGGGTACAGAGCAAGGAGCGTGAGCAAGACAGGGAGGGAAGAAAGGGCAAAGTGAACCCCGGGGACAGTGAAGGGGTCCTTGCAGTGGCTGACAGCAGCAGGGGGCAAAGCCAGGAAGGGGAGTGGGATCACCCCACGGGGCCTGAACCCTCAGTCACAGGCTGGTGGGTTGATCTTCTCACTGCTGCCCACAGATGCTCATTGCCTTCCCCTTTCTGCATCAGGGCTTGTCCTGCCCCCCACCTCCTGTCCTTCTCAGCCCCACCCCAATTCCTCCTGCTCTGTAAAGCCAGATGACCGCCCCTCCTCTAAATATCACAAGCATGTGACTATAAGTCATCTTCTGTAACCCATCTAAATCTGCTAAGCTCCACCAGGGTAGGACCCATGTTTTATAAGTGGTAGTACCCCACCTCCTAACATTATTCAGGGCCTAAGGTGGATGTCATTGAGGCCTTCTGCCTGCTTTCCAGTCTGTCTGTACAGCCCCCACTCCTCCCCATCCTCTGCCCCCTGACACGGCACCCTCCACACAGATGCACCCACCCAGCTCACCGGGGGGATGTGCAGGGCCTCCCTGTAAAACACTTGGATGTCCCAGTAGCTGAAGAGGTTGCAGACTGAGCGAAGCAGCTGGACCAGCCAGAAGGCTGCAGCCAGGATCAGAAGGAAGACCAGCAGGGGGCTTGAGTGGATCCTAGGGGGAGGGGGGAGTAACATAGCGAGAAAGTACGACCTCCATAGAGAGGGAGATGAGACTTGGGAAGTAATGGAAAAGTCGTGGAGGGGATCCAGCAAGACCAGCAGTTTTCAAAGTGTGGGGTGTCTGGGGGTCCTCGAGACCCTTGAAAATGTCTGCAAGGTCAGAACTTTTTTCAGATAATACTGGTGTTTCTGTCATTTTTATTCTCATTCTCTCATGAACGTAGAGTTTTCTAGAGGCTAGGTGACATCACACTGACAGCTGATGGAATGTGTCCTCAGCTTTAATCTCTAATAAGGTAAATATAGATACTATGATTCTCATAAACAAAAGCTATTAGGGTTCTCAATAAATTTTAAGTATATAAAAGGAATTCTGAGCCCGGCCGGCGTGGCTCAGCGGTTGAGCATTGACCTATGATCCAGGAGATCACGGTTCGATTCCCGGTCAGGGCACGTGCCTGGGGTTGTGGCCTCGATCCCCAGCAGGGGGCATGCAGGAGGCAGCTGATCAATGACTTTCTCATCACTGATGTTTCTCTCTCTCCCTCTCTTTTCCTCTCTCTGAAATCAATAAAGACATATTTAAACAACAACAACAAAGGTATTCTGAGACCCAAACCTTGGAGAACTGATGATCTAGCCCAGGGACAAAAGATGGGTGGCTCTTGTCTACTGTCTTCCCCTCCCTCCTCCCCCCACCAGTGGCAACTCACCGCTGGGCACACTGGGACGAGGGTAGGATGGCATCCGACAGAGTAACTTTGCTGTGTGGCAGCCCAGGTCTTGTCCGGTTATTTGGCTGGTTGGCAAAGAGAACGTTGTAATCCACGCAGCGCAGGAGGAAGGTGGTGAAGGCAATGATGAAAACAAATTGCCTGGAGGGCCAGGGGTTCAGGGGTTCAGTGGTCAGACCCACTCGGAACCCTCTCCCCCAAGTCCCGGCCCTGGCTGCTTGGGGAGGCCCCGAGTGGGCTAGAATCAGCAGGCACAACCAGGACAAGCATCTCACCCCAGCTGGAAGGCATCCTCCAGCAGGATACAGGCGAAGCCGTTTCTCTGGTGGTAGCTGTAGATGTGGCACGTGTGTCAAGAAATCAGCCGCAGGCGTGATGGGCCTTTCCTGAGCATGCCTCCCCCTCACTCCACCCAAAGTCCCCTAACCCACTGCACCCTCGGAGTCCCCCTGCCAAGAATGGCGGCTGCCCCAGGGGCCCTTCTGTGCCGCGCGACCAGGCCCAGCACAAAGGATATCTTGGTGAAGAAGCTGTCCAGGTTCTGGATGTGGTGCCAGGAGCCTGGGCACAGAGGGGAGGGTGTTGGGACTCGGCTCTCATCTGAGCGTGCTCTCCAGGCCCTCGACCTGCTGCCTCACCCCCTAGGCCCCCCCAACCCACTCCCCCCACAGCCCCACACCTGCACACTCACCTCGGAGCCCTTCAGGCACATGAAGCAGGGGCTGCTGCTCCTCCCCGTGAACGGGTGAATCCTGGGACCCCTCAGGGTCACAGTCTTCCAGCCGCTCATAATCCTGCTCAGGGATCAGAGGGCCTATTCGCAGCCCAGGGTTGTCCTGGGGGCATCGGCGCAAAGGAGGGGCAGTCACCGAGGCCAGGGGTGGGGTGGAGTGGGAACCCCAGGAAGGGGGAGCAGACGTGAGTCTCATCACAGGCTCTGCCTGTGTTGGGGGTGTGGCTGGGGTGGGCGGGGCACTGTGTCTAGGCTGAGAAGCCCCTGGGGTCTGCACAGCTGGGCAGGGGGCCCCCAGGGCTGGGGGAGGAGCTGAGGAAGGCACACTTCTGGTGTGAGGAGCAGGGGACAGAGAGAAGATGGAGAGCCTCCCTCCCCCAGGCCCCCGACACGGAGGAGGGGGAA